CACACAAAACACTCATACACATAAAATAAAAATAAAATAAATTTTAAAAAGGAAAAATAGACACTTGTGAAGCAGGGCATGGTGGCACAAGCCTTTAATACCAGCACTCAGGAGGCAGAAGCAGGTGGATCTCTGTGAGTTCCAGGTCAGCTGGGGCTACAGGGAGACCCTATCTCAAGAAGACCAAAGAAAAAAGACACTTGTATACTTGAATTACAAGCAGTGTAACTGGCTAGCTTTTCCTCCCTCCCTCCCTGCCTTCCTTTGTTTTTGAGAAAAAGTCTCATGTAGCCCAGGCTGACCTTGAACTTGCTGTGTAGCCAAGGCTGATCCTGATCTTCCTGCCTCTACCTTCCAGGTGCTGGGGTTTCAGGCATGCACCAGAACACCCCACTCCTGACAAAATTTTTCAAGAAATAATTTCTACTTATAAGAAAAATTAATAAGAAAACTATGATTATTGAGACTTTGGTATTTCCCAGCCTTTCCTTAAAAATTAGTGGCATGAAGCCAGATGTGGTGGCACACACTTTTAATCCCAGCACTCAGGAGGCAGAGGCAGGCAGAACTCTGTGGAGCGAGGCCAGCATGGTCTACACAGTGAGTTCCAGGCCAGCTGGGACTATAAGGAGACCCTGTCTAAAAATGACTTAAAAAAAAAGGGGGGGTGATATGAGACAGTCACTTGAAGGAGAAAAACTAAAACCAACAGCTAAGGACAGAGCTTAGGGGTATTTGTCTAGTATGGTTGAGGCCCTGAGTTCCTTTCACATGCACACTGTGGCACATGTGTACCCTCACAGAGAGGCACACACAATAAATACATGTAGTTTTTGTTTTTGTTTTTTATCAAGGTGTGGGCTAGAGTCATCAGGACCCAAGTTTAGTTCCAACATGCACAACAGGTGGCTCACAACCACCTGTAATTCCAATTCCAGGGGATCTGACACCCTCTTCTGGACTCTGAAGGCAACCACATACTCACACACACATAGACACATACATATATATAAATAAAAATAAATGTTTAGGGGCTGGAGAGATGGCTCAGCGGTTAAGAACACTGGCTGCTCTTGGAGATGACCCAGGTTCGATTTCCAGCACCCACATAAGCAGCTAACAACTGTCTGTAACTCCAGTTCCAGGGGCTCCTACATAGGCATTGTACAACATGGGTGCACTTACACATGCAGGCAATACACTCAAACACATAAGAAAATAAATAAATGTTTAAACAACAACAACAACAAAAATCAAGGATCATACACACTATAAACCTGATAGTTTCTCAACACTGGGAAACTTTTCTGTTAAGAGTATGGTGAAATTGGATGGGGGCTGGAGAGATGGCTCAGTGGTTAAGAGCACTGATTGCTCTTGCAGAGGGGGGTTCGATTCCCAGCACCCACATGGCGGCTACAAACTGTCCTTAACTCCAGCTCCAGGAGAATCTGAAGCCCTCTTCTCACCTCCAAGGCATTGCACAACACGGGTGCACTCACATACATGCAGGCAATACACTCATACACATAAAATAAAAATAATAAAAATATTTTTTTTAAAAAGAGTATGGTGAAATTGGTAAGATCTTCTGGTATTATAAAATGGAAACGTCACTATTTGGGAGACCTGTATAACTCAATGAATCAATATTTTCCAATGACCAACTCTAAGTAAAAGATTCATTCAAAGTACAAAATATGTCAGATGTGGTAGCACACACCTTTAAATACAGCACTTGGGAGGCAGAGGCAGGTGGATCTCCGTGAGATTGAGACCAGCCTGATCTACACAGCAAAGTTCTAGGCCAGCTGGGCTATCGGGAGACTGTCTTAAGACAAACAAAAAGTGCAAAACAGACCACTAGGTTGTAATGTTAAACAGTATGAAAGGTTGTTGATAAGGTTCAAACTCCACACTTATAGAGACATAGCTCAGCGGCAGAGCGCTTGCCTTGGACCCAGAAGGCCCTGAGTTCAATCCTTAGCACCACAGAAACCTAACAAGATCTACCATGTGTTGAGTTTGGAAACTCAAAGACGAATCTCTATTATTATTTGATTTTCTTCCTATCCTTCAAAAAAGTAGCACAATGTTAGAGATTGAATAAGGGGGCTGACATAAGAATGCAGTGGTCTTCCAGCTTTTTGGAGATGCCGGGACCACGGGACAACCACCAAGAGCAGAGGCAGGTATGGAATGGAACCGGCCTAGGTCTGTGAGATGAGCTGTGTGAGCTGTGGATGGCAGTCAGAGAAGTGGAGCTGCCGAAACCCTTTAGAGCCCAGAAAACAGTGAGTGAACCCCAGATGTCCATCCTTGAGCTACTTTGCTGGACTTAGGTTTTGCTTAGGTGTGCCTGATTCTTCCCTTTTGAAATAAGACAGTACTTGTTTTGGATTTTATAGGAGCCCTAAGAGACTTTTAAAAGAGACTATGGACTTTAAAGTGTTTGGATTTTTTGAGGACTGTGGGACTTTTAAGGTTGTACTGTCTTATGTTGTGATATTGTTAACATTATGTCTTGGGGACAAGAAATGGAAAGGTTTGGTTCAATAGTGATGTATCTATGTATCAGGCTGACAAGAGGTCAATTGTGCTGGATAGCTTTGTGTCATATTGACACACCTGGGTTGAGGGAGCCTCAACTGGGGAACTGCCTCCACTAGACTGGCCTGTGGCCATGTCTGTGGGGCATCTTCTTGATTTTTGAGTCATGCGGGAGGGTGCAGCCCACTGTGGATGGTGCCACCCCTGGGTAGGTTGCTCTATATTGTATAAGAAAGCAGGCTGAGCATGGGCCAGGGGGGCAAGCCAGTAAGCAGCTCCTGCCCTGAGTTCCTACCTTGGGCTCCCTGAATTATGACCTGAGAGATGTGAGCCAAATAAACCCTTTCTTCCCCCTGCCACCCCCAAAAAAGAATTCTGGGGTCTTTTACTAAATCAGACTCAGAGGCTGGCAAAAATGTAAAACTATTATTTTTATTTTAAAAAATGCCCTTTGGAGCCGGGCGTGGTGGCATACGCCTTTAATCCCAGCACTTGGGAGGCAGAGGCAGGAAGATCTCTGTGAGTTTGAGGCCAGCCTGGTCTACATAGTGAGTTCCAAGCCAGCTGGGGCTACAGGGAGACCCCGTCTCAAAAAGACCAAAAAAAAAAAAACGCCTTTTGGAGCTGGGCGTGGTGGCACACACCTTTAGACCCGGCACTTGGGAGGCAGAGGCAGGCGGATGTCTGTAAGTTCAAGGCCAGCCTGGTCTACATAATGAATTCCAGGCCAGCTGGGACTACAGGGAAACCCTGTCTAAAAAGACCAAAAATAAATAAATAAATAAATAAATAAATAAATAAGTATGCCTTTTGGGGGGCTGGAGAGATGGGTTATCAGTTAAAAGCATGGGCTACTCTTGCAGAGGACCCAGGTTCGGTTCCAAACACCCACATACTGGGTCACAACCACCTATAACTCCAGCTCCAGGGGATCTGACACCTTCCTCTGGCCTTCGCTGGAGTGCACACACACCCTCACACACACCCCTCAGAACACCTTGCTGTCAAAATGGATACCTTCTAGAGTCACATGTTTGGTATCTGCCAGCTCTCTAACATCTAACCTTTCTCTGTTTGGTCTTTTTGAGACGGGGTCTCCCTGTTCCCAGCTGTCCTGGAACTCACTATGTAGACCAGGCTGGCCTTGAACTCACAGAGATCTGCCTGCCTCTGCCTCCTGAGTGCTGGGATTAAAGGCGTGCGCCACCACGCTCAGCCTGAAACCTCTTTTAATGCATGTCTTCTCAGTCTTGGAAGAGGGGCAGTAGCTGAGGCCCCTGTCTGAAGACCTGCCACAGCACCTGGCTCACGGCAGCACCTTTGGCAAAACCAAGGACAACAGCCACAGAGTTTTCACACTGAGAATCACAAAGGAAAATGAGATAAGGCTGCAAAGTCACACCAGTGCAGGAGGAAATGAAGTTGCTGAGGCTGCGCTCTGGGGGGAAGAGGGGGTGTTATGGACAGACTCAAGGACATACCCAAGCCTGTCACCCTGCGGGTAACAGGAAAACCCACACGGTGTTAAAGGCAGAGAAAGGGAAATGGAGCCTGCAAACAGCTCCTGAAATCACTGAACTTCAGAGATTAAAACAGGTCCAGGTTTCCCCTGGCCCCAGGCAGGGTCCTGCTGTAACCCAGTCTCCCAAACAATCAGGACAAAGACCATCAAACTCCCTGGTGTGCCCCTTCCGAGAGCTTCTAAAAGCTGCCGGGAATCCTGAGAACAGAGAAACAGCAATGGGAAGCTCAGAGCACTGACAGCCCACGCTGAGGACCCACCTCCAAGCAGAGATATTTTCAGCCCACAGACCTGGGAGGAAGGACTAAATCTGTTTCTATCATTTCCCAAGTTCCTAGTATGCAGTTGGCACTCAAAAAACTTTGTCCCCAATGAATGTGATGGCACACACCTGTAATTCTAGCACTTGGGAAGGGAAGGCAGGAGAATCTTGAGTTTCACCTAGTCCAGTCTGGGCTACATATCTAGACCCTATCTCAAAGAAACCAAACAGCAACAAACTGTTCCATTAATGAAAGAAAATGATGAATGGTATCTTACTGGTCCAACATCCCCTATACCCAAGCAGAGAAGAAAGTGTTAGTCCTTAGTCATTCAACAAACAGTGACTCAGCATCCCTTTTGTACCAGGTACTGTCTCAGACACAACAGGAGACAAAGTAAGTTCTTGTTCTTGAGTTTGTTTTCCAGTGGGTGAGAATCTCCACCCTCCTAAAACACCTATATAAGCCACAGATATTAAATAATTATTTAATGAGTGCCTACTATGTGTTAAGTAATAGGTACCAGTTACTACAACAGGCACCTGGGATCAAGGACTGAGCCTAGTGAATTATTACATCTGCAAGTCCAGGATCCTAAATGTGGAGCCTGTGGCAGGCAGCTGTCAGAGAACCCACCCCCACACAAGTCAGTGAAGTGGGATTACCTTTAAGGTACGTTCATCCTCATCTGTCGGTGAGCAGGAGCCACTGAGTGAGTGCCACGTGCATGCCCACAACACTGCACAGCACTGTGGGACAGAAAGAAACCCAACATCTGTAGCTGAGAGGCACTAGGGATCTGAAAAGCATCACTATGTAAGTTCTAATTAAACACTAGAACTCAGAAAAAAAAAAAAAAAAAAAAGAGTGCCCCCATGTAATCTGCCTATTCAACTGTCCCACACAGGAATACACATCCTGGGAGGTTGTCACTCTGAGCCTGAGTCAGCAAATATTTCCCAATCCTGGAAGGAGTCTGCACTTCCAAGCAAGCAGACACTGGCCTCGATGATATTACCTGGGTGGGGCAGAAGCTGCAAGGTAAGGAAGGGGTGGTGCCCAACACCCCACTAGCTTTGAGAGGGAGATGCCCTGAGTCACGCAAGATTCCTTAGCAGAGTTCCATGGATGGAGGCATACTCCAGTCACCAGCCCGAGGAGTTAAAAGCCAAGGAAAAAGTCCCACATGTCTGGAAGCTGATGCTCGGGGCCAGTCAGTCTGCCTGCCTGGCTCAAGCCAAGTGCCCAGCTTTCCTCTGACACCCTGGAATCCAGCTGCTGAAAGCAAGCTACTCCTCCCCTGGCTCTCAAGGCAGAGAAACATGTTCAGGGACATCAAACCACTCCAAGAAACAGCCACAGGGCAATCTGGGACAGACAAGGGCGCTAGGCACAGGGCTTCTGACATAACACAAGCCAGGGCCTGGCAGGGCAGATGAGCCTGTGTGAATGCTGGGCAGGGAGAAAGAAGAGAATGCTCCCAATATGGACAGAGCCTTGGGGCTAGCCCTGGCATTGCCAGGCCCTAATGGGTGGCAGAGGATACTACAGTGCAGTCTCCTAGCCTGCAGGGAGCACCCCAGGGAGGTAGGCCTCAGGGACAGGATACAGTTCAAACCCTTAGGAGCCACAGATCCACTGCCTTCTGAGGAGACAAGCCACATTGTCCTAGGACACTCCAAGCTCCTCGGGCCGAGGACAGCTTGCACAACAGCCGGGCAGCTATGTATTGTCTAAAGGAGAGGCCTATCAGATTTCCAGGTCAGTACCCCACAATGACCTACCAGGCCCTTGGGGGAAGCGGCAAGGGACCACAGGTGGGACGGGGAGGGTAAGGGCCACTGTTCCTGGGTGAGTTGAAATAGACACAAGAAATCGGTGAAGATGAGGCAAGGAGAGACGTCGCCAACCAGACCAGGAGTGAGATCAGTAAAAGGAGGAGCTGACAGGCAATGTCACTGGAGAGGCCTGTCAAGAGCCTGTCCACCCACACCTTGGAGACAGGTATGCTGACCTAGGCTCTGCAAAAATCACTGAACGGAAAGGGAAAATGCCCTACAAGGCTGCAGAGTGGATACCCTGTAAGAGGCTACCCGTCAGGGCTCCACCAGGATTGCCCCTGGGCCACGTTCAAACTCTTTCACCTGCCGCCTCAACACAGCACTGCAACTGGGTCAGCAAAGGCAAAGCATTGGCAAACAGCTCAACAGTGTCAGGGAGAAAGTGCTCAGGGGGCCAGAAACCAGACCAAATCGCTCCAAACAAATACTCAAGCTCAGCACCTCAAAAATGACCCATGAAATCCCTGGAGAGAGCCAGGTGCAGTGGCACATGCCAGTAATGACAGCACTCAGGAGGCTCAGGCAGAAGGACTGTCACAAGTTCAAGGCCAGCCTGGATTACAGAGTCCAGTGGGTAAAAGCGCTTGCCACCAGGTCTGACAAGCTGAGTTCCATCCCTAGGCCCCGTGTGGTGGAAGAAGAGAACTGACTCCTGCAAATTGTCCTCTGACCGCTACATATGTGTGCATGTAAAAAATCTTTTTTTTTAAACTTATTGAGGGATGTTTCTAATAGGAACTGATTCCTTCTAATCCATTCTGCCCCAATCCCCCCAAGTGCTACAGAGAGGGGATTGAGGGGCCAGTCGAGAAGGGATGTGCCACCCACGGTTCTATTGCTTTCATGGAAAAGGGTCAGCACACAAGAAGATTACAAAACTGTAAATCTGGTTGAGCTGGCTCAGTTGGCTTTCCGCGGTAGCTCCTGAAGGTTGCCTGTTCTGTGTCCAATTCTGCTCAAAGACAGAGAGAATACGATTCTCAAAAGAGGAGACCTAGAAACTAGGAGACAGCAAAATGAAGAGCTTTCACTTCAGACCCTGGCCCTCCCAAGATCAGGTGGATATGTTGCCTTCTGAAGATGCCTCCAGGAGTCCATGGCCAAGTAAAGGAGCTTGAACTGTTTTAGACACCCTAAAATACCTTTCTGCAGAAAGATGAACACCCAAACATGCCTCAGATCATGATCCATGTGCCAGGAAGCAGACAGCTCAAGTGCCTGGCAAGGCCTCACTGGTGCAGTCCCTCAGCCTGCCCAGGCAGATACCAACACAACACCACTCCTGGGCAACAGGAACATATCAGCTCCCTTTCCCAGTCACAGGAAGTAAGGCTCCCCAGGAAAAAGAGGGCGACAAGACAGCAAGAGGTCCCACTCAGGGACCAACAGCAGAGGCACATTCAATCAGACACACAACAGAAAAAAATCACCAGCTGGCTTAAATCACCGTCTGAGAGAGACAGACGCCTGACAGCCCCAGAGCTACCAAGCCCACCAACCATTTAAAGACTCAAATAAGGAAAAAGCATCCTGGGGCGAGCAAAATGTTTCAACAGGTAAAGGTGTGTGCCTCATGACCTGAGTTTAATCTCTGGGACCCATATGGTGGAAGAGGAGAACTGTCCTCTGATCTGCAAGTGCACATACACAGGCGTACCCGTGTACACACACACACACACACACACACACACACACAATAAAAGCAATTTAGAACGAAAGAATTCTGGAACCAGTACAGGTTTAAAAAAAAAAAAGAAAAGAAAATGGAGGCCACAGTCACTTCCTGGGGTAATTGCTTCTGGGAACTTCTCTTAGCTCTGTGGGATGGGGCAGTGTGTGGCGTGGAGGAGGGCAAGGATAGGAAAAGTATCTCATTTAAATGGGTTCCATATATCCTGACTGAAAAGGCACAGAATCCTGTTTCCTGGAAGGGGAAAAGTTGGATGAGGCCTCCGGCTACTGCTGGCGTACACCCAACCCTGTGCAGTCTCTCCCCAAGGGTTTCTGGAAGTCAACAGACTCATAAAGGGGAAGTATTAAAACGAGATTGGAAGAATGTCGGAACAACTGGACATCACGCCTGATGCAACACTCGGTAAGATCCTCCCACCCAGATATACCTGGTCTTCTGTCATTCGGCCCTCTGGGTCCAGCAGAGGCTCAACACACCCCACTCTACCCACGCCCCCATCTCAACTGCAGGTTAAATGGAAATATAGTGTGGAACTATGGATTCTCCCCCAAGCAGAAGCCAGGAACCTGGACGAGGTCGAGTGACAAAAAGTGCAGGGTTGTATGAAGGAAATTGGAGTCTGGCAACAGCAGGGCCTCTAAGTGGAAGAGGCTGTTACAATAAGCCGGACTGCACGCCTAGGGTTGGCAAAGCCTCACAACAGACACCCTAGGGAAGAGGGTGGGGAGGGAACAGACAACGGGAAAAGCAGAGGGACAGAGATGGGAAGAGAGCAATGACCGCCAGGGCCGAGATGGGTAGAGGAGGACAGAGACCAGGATAACGAGGGGAGAGCTTGGACAGGACAGGACAAGGAACCTGGGGACACGAGAGGGAGACCACGAAAGAGGTCAGGAGAGTTTAGAGATCCGCTTCTCAGAGAAGTGGGAGGAGACCGAGACACGAGGCAGCCGAGGGGGTCAGGGTCGGTGCAAAGAGGCGGTGATTTGGCTCCCAGGCCCTGGGACCGTCGGCCGGGGGCGCCTACAGCGCACAGCGGCCCCGGGCGCAGCGCGGAAAAGCCGCAAGGCGCGCTGTCCGCAGAGCCCCCCGCGCGCTCTTCATTCGCGCCCCGCTGGGCCTGATGCCTCAGTCCCCACCCGGCCTCCCGGCCCCGGGCCGCCCCGCCGCTGGCCTGCCCGCCTCCCCCGACCCGCACTGACCGGTCCCGGTAGCCTCTAGCGCGGCCGCCGCCGCCGTCCCGAAGGATCCGCAGAATCCCCCAGCTCCTGCCAAAACTTTTCCCATTAATCTCCAGCTCCGCCGCAATCGCGGCGTCACACGCTCCGAGGCCCGGCCCCGCCCCTGCCAGCTTGACGTCACTGTCCGCTGGGGCCCGCCCCCTTCCTCTCTCCGCCCCCTTCCGCCCGGCAGCAACCAATCACCGCGCCACCTGATTCCAGCGCTCCGCCCACAACACCGCAGAGCCCTCTGGAGTCAGATGTGGGCGCAGCAGCTGGAGGAAGAAGTGGAGCCAGGGGGGTGCCCGGGGCTGGGCAAACGAGTCCAGCAAGTCTCACAGAAGGACATTTAAAGCTAGAAGAAGGCAGGGGTCATTCAGGACAAACTCCTTGTCCTTCCAGCGACCCTAGGCACGCAGCCGGGTGACTTGCAGAAAAGAAGCAACGCTGAGGGTAGATGCAGACTGTCATTTTCAAATAATGAAAAGCTGCGGGTTGCGGGTCATGGTGGTGTAAGCCTTTAACCCCATAGAGGCAGGCGGATCTATGGGAGTTCAAGCCCAGCTTGGTCTACATAGTAAGTTCCAGGTCAGCTGGGGCTATGGGGGAGACCCTGTCTCAAAAGACAAAAAAATAAAATAAAAAAAGAAAGAAAAGAAAAAAGAAACGATTTTGTTCTTGCTTCTTAACTTGTAGCTGTAAAACCTGTCATCCCAACCAAGGGATCCACCCTAACCATATACCATAAGAGGGTATGTAGCCAGGAGGAGGTCTGGTGGAAAAGGCTGGCTTTGTCATCTGGTACTGAGCAACACTTGACTGGCAGGTGTGCTGTCAGTCACTAGCTACCCCTCTCCTCTGCACCTCCATTAAAGGTTACCTCTGCCCTCTGCAGGCATTCCTTACACCACGCCCTCGGCTCTCTAAATATGACTCTGTGGTCCCCATCCTCTTTCTCTTGGCTTTCCCCACCCCCACCCGTGTGTGTGTGTGTGTGTGTGTGTGTGTGTGTGTTATATGCACCTGTATGTGCTCCAGCACAGTAGGAGGTTGGGTGTCCTCTTCTGCCAATTTCCATTTTATTCCATTGAGGCAGGGACTTTCCCTGACCTAGTGCTCTCGTTTTTTAAAATATTTTATTTACTATTTTTTTCTTTTTTCTTTCTTTCTTTTTTTTTTTTTTTTTTTTTTTTTTGAGGTATCTTGCTAGGACCCTTCACAGGCCAGGCCTCATTTCATTTTGTCTTTTTATATTTATATATATTTTTTCTTTTTTAAAAAAAATTTTATGTGTATGTGTGTATTGCCTGTGTTAAGTGCACCTGTGTTGTGCAATGCCTGCAAAGGACAGAAGAGTCTGTCAGATCCCCTGGAGCTGGAGTTATAGACAGTTGTGAACAGCCCAATATGGGCTCTGGGACTCAAACTCTGATCCTCTGCGCCACCACGCCTGGGTTATTTACTATTTTTTTATGTGTATGAGTGTATTGCCTGCATGTATGTGAGTGCACCTGTGTCCTGTGATGCCATGGAGGTCAGAAGAGGGCTTCGGACTCCCCTGGAACTGGAGTTAAGGATGGTTCATAGCCGCCATGTGGGTGCTGGGAATCGAACCCAGGACCTCTGCAAGAGCAGTCAGTGCTCTCAACTGCTGAGCCATCTCTCCATCCCCTAGTGTGCTCATTTTATGGGCTAGGCTGGCAGTCAGCAAGCCCCATCAGTTTTCTTGGCCCCATAGCCCTCTGTGCTGGGGTCAAAGGAGTACAGAGGACCAAATCTGGCTTTTACATTCGTGGAGGATCTGGTTTTGGTTTGGTTTGGTTTTGTTGTTTGGGGGCTGGGTTTTTGTTGTTGTTGTTGTGTTGGTTTGTTTGTATGTTTTTGAAACAAGGTCTCACTATGGAGACTATGGCTGACCCGGAACTTGCTACTTAGACCAGGCTACCCTCAAACTCATAGAGATCTACCTGCCTCTACCTCCTGAGTACTAAGATTAAAGAAATGCACCATCACTCCCAGTTATGCTAGGATCTGAACTCTGGTCTTCAAGCCTGGGCAGCAAGCAGTCTTTATTTATTTATTTTTATTTTATGTGTATGAGTGTTTTGCCTGCGTGTATGTTAGTGCACTGTGTGCATGCCCACAGAGGCCAGAAGAGGGTGTCAAATCCCCTTGGAGCTGAAGTTATGGATAGTTGTTAGCCACCTTGTGGGTGCTGGTTACTGAACCCAGGTCCTCTGCAAGAGCAGCAAGTGCTCTTAACCGCTGAGCCATCTCTCCAGCTCTCTTCCCCTGCTTTTTGAAATGAATGTGTTTTACTTTTGTTTTAAATGAAACATTCCTTGTCCTCTGAGATTACAGTAAAAATGGACTATGGAGGCTGAAGAGATGACTTCCCAACACCTACGTTGGGTAGCTCACAACCACCTGTAACTCCAGCTCTAGAGAACCTGCAGCCTTCTTCTGGGTCTCAGTATGCACCCATACGTGTGATATATATAAATAAAAATAAATCTCTAAAAGAATGGACTATGGAAGTCAAGGCTCTCCCTAAGATTTCTGCAGTGTTGTTTTTTGTTTGTTTTTGAGGGGTTGTTTTTATTTTTGAGATAGGATCTCGGGCTGGCCTTGAACTTAGTATGTAGCTAAGAATAACCTTGAACTCCTGATCTTCCTGCTTCTAACTTCCAAGTGCTGAGATTACAAGTGTGTACCACTAGGCCCAGTTCATGTGGTACTGGGGATAGAACCCAGGGCTTAGTGCATGCTAAGCAAGCACTCTACCAATTGAGATGCATCTTTAGCCTTCTTTTGTTTTTAAATATATTTTATTAATTTTTGAGAAGTTCATAACGTACAATGTATTTTGTGTATTTTGCTGATACTCACTCCTCCTCCTCCAAGATCACCCCCCCCTTTTTTTTTTTTTGAGACAGGGTCTCACTATATAACCCTGGCTGGTCTGGAACTCACTATATAGACCAGACTGGCCTTGAACTCACAGATATCTCCCTGCCTCTGCCTCTTGAGTGTTGGGATTAAAAGTGTGTGCCACCATCACCATGCCCAGCCCTCCTTTTGGTTCTTGAATCAGTCTGTTTATGTGTGGGTGAGATGGCTCAGCAGGTCAAGGCACCTACTGCCAAGGGTGATGACCTGAGTTCTATCCCTGGAACCCATGTGGTGGGAGGAGAGAACCAACTCCTGCAAGTTGTTCTCTGACCTCCACACATGTACTATAGCATATGTGCCCACACCCACAAATAAATAAATAAATGTAAAAGATGTTTTTAAAGCTGGGTGTGGTGGTGCACGCCTTTAGGCCCAGCACTCGGGAGGCAGAGGCAGGCGGATTACTATGAGTTCAAGGTCAGCCTGGTCTACAGGGTGGGTTCAGGTCAGCTGGGGCTACAGGGAGACCCTGTCTCAAAAAAGACAAAAAAAAAAAAAGGTTTTAATCAGTCTGTTTCTGAATCATAACCCTAGGCTGAAACAGCATCTCCTATTCTTGACAAGATTTTCCCTTTGGGACAGCTGAGTGGGGAAAGCAGGCTCCTGCCAAGCTTTAATGGCTCTTTCCAGACCAGTCAAGGAGCTCAGCTACTGAAATCTGTTCAGATGTCCAATTACTGCATAGCTGAATAGTTAACATTACTGAGTAGACTGAGGCTGTGTCAGGCTCTAGCCTGCAGGTGGGGCCTGCTGAGTCTCCTGGAACCAGCCTGCTCTGAAGACTGGCCCCCTTACTTCCCCCTTGCACTGCAGCAGGAATAAGAGGCAACTGAAAACAGCCACTTTCCAGGTTTGGGTAGTCCCCAGACACCAGTGTTTATACCAGTGTGTATGCCACATGTGGCTTTCCAGTCCCATGTCCCCACCCATCCTCACATAGAAGTCATGGAGAGAGACAGCTTTGGGATAGTGTCTGAGGACACCAAAGACAAGACATACTTTTTCTTTTTTTTTTTTTTTTTTGCCCTTTTTTGAGACATAGCCCCAGCTGGCCTGGAACTCACTATGTAGACCAGACTGGCCTTGAACTCATAGAGGTCTGCCTGCTTCTGCTTCCCAAGTGCTGGGATTAAAGGTGTGCCCAGCTAAGACACTTTTCTTTCAAGACGTTGGGCAGGCAGGTGTAGTAGGACTACATGGTAAGACTCTATCTCAAAACAAAACAACAGGAGAAAAACAAAAACAAAACACAAAACATCTCATTTTAGCCAGCTATGGTAATATACATATGTAATCCAGCACTTGGCAGAAGGATCCAGAGTTCAAGGACAGTCTCAGCTACACAGTGGGTTCTAGGTCAGCTTGGCGTATATGAGATCTTATCTCAAAAAAACCAAATATTGACATATGGTTGATAGTTTAGCCAGTCATGGTGGTACATGCCTATAATTCCAGCTCTTGGGAGGCTGAGGTAGGAGGATCTCAAGATCTCAAGTTCCTGAGAAGCCTGAACTATACAATGAGATTTTTGTCAAAAAAAAAAAAAAAATCAATCAACCAGCTCTTCCCAGCTCCAAGTGTCCTTTGCCTATTTTAAAATTTTTAAAAATGTTTTTAATTTCACACGTATGGGTGTATTGCCTGCATGTAGGTAAATGCACCCGTGTCATGCATTGCCCGAGGAGGACAGAAGAGGCTGTCGGATCCCCTGGAACTGGAGTTACAGACAGTTGTTAGCTGCCATGTGGGTGCTGGGATTCGAACCTGGATCTTCTGCAAGAACAGTCAGTGTTCTTAACCTGCTGAGCCATCTCTCCAGCCCCACCTCCTTTTTTTGGAGACAGGTGTTACTATGTCACCCAGGCTGGCCTGGAACTCACAGAGGTCCACCTGCCTCTGCCTCATTAAAGGTGTGTGCCACCATGCCTGGCAAATTCTTCTCATTTTAAAAGTAAAGATTTGGGGGGCTGCAAGATAGGTCAATAGATAAAGGCACTTACTGCCAAGCCTGATGACTTGAGTTCGATTCCTAGGACCCACATGGAGAAAAGAAAAACCTGACTCCAATAAACCTGACTCTGGCCTTCACACACTGGATGTGGCACGAACTCTCACACACATAGCTACAAATACACACACACACACTATAAATAAATAATAAATAAATATATAAATTAAGTAGAAAAAAGTAAATAAATAAATAAATAAATGCAAAGATTCAGGAACTTCCTGCCTGGATTAAAAGGTTTCCTACCCAGCCTTGAACCATCATCCTTCGGTTTCTTAGCACCTATAGCCCTATGCTAGTATTCAAATTGTTGCTTGGTTCAGTGTCCAGAGGCTTAACCACCTTACATAGTCCACTATTAAAAGAGATGAAGGCCTGGTGCACACCTTTAACCCCAGTACTGGGGGAAGCAGAGGCAGGCAGATCTCTGTGAGGTCAAGGCTAGCCTAGTCTACAAAGGGAATTCCAGGCCAGCTGGGGCTATAGGGAGACCCTGTCTCAAAAAACCAAAACCAAAACGAACAAAAAAACAAAACCACCAACAACAAAAAGAGAATGAAAGGTAAGCCTTTTGAGAAGGAGAGATTGTAAAAGAGAAAAGCAGTTTTGGTAGAGAATGGTTGAGACTGACAAACTGGTTTCCAGCTCTTTACACTTTATACTCTAGTTAAAAGAGCATTAATCCTCCCCTCCAATAGCCAGAATATCTCTCAATCTCCCCCCCTCCGTGTTGGGACAGGGTCTTGTTATATAACCCAGGTTAGACTAAAACTTTATATTTCTGGGGCTGGAGAGGTAGCTCAGTGGCTAACAGTGCTTGCTACTCTTGAGGAGAACCTGAGCTCAGTTCCTAGTAGCCACATCTGGTAGCTCTCAACTTCTTGTAACTCCAGTTCAGGGAAATCCAACACCCTCTTCTGACTTCCACAGGCACCTGCACTCATGTGCACAACCCCATATAGAGTCACATACACAGAATTTAAAATGATCAAATCTTTTTCAATAATTTTTATATATTTGTGCTTTTTCTTGTTTTTCTTCTCTTTCTTTGTTTGGCCTGAAACTTTTGATGGTTAGCACCTCCGTCCTTCCACTCAGTGCTGGGATTACAGGCCCGCCACACCCAGCTCAGAATCCATACTTCTCCCGTCCATAAACATATTGGGTCTCTTTTGACTTATACTATCTGTGTTCTCCTAGTCTCCATTTGTATTGTATTTATTGGACAGTGAGGGCTTGCTAGCTTGACATACACCAGAAATCTGTTTTTGGGGAGCAGAGTCATGAAGATCCTGAGTTCAAGCCAGCTTGGGTTATGGAGTGAGTTTAAGGCAGCCTAAAGTATACAGCGAGACCGAAGTCTAAAAATAAGGTGGGGTGTGGGCAGGGTGTGGTGGCACACACCTTTGATTCCAGCACTCAGGGAGGCAGAGGCAGCAGATTTCTGTGAGTGTGAGGCCAGTCTGGGGGTGGGCAGTGAGATTGCTCATGAGTGAAGATGCTTGTCACCAAGCCTGACAACTTGAGTTCCATCCCCAGGACCCACAAAGTGACATGGTGGATGGAGAGAACCAACTCCTGAAAGTTGTCACCTGACCTCCACAGTAGCAAGTGTGCACACACAAGTCCACCTCTAAACACAAAATAATAAGATGTAAAATAGGCTGGGTGTGGTGGTGTGCACCTTTTATCTCAGTTCTCTGGAGGCAAAGACAGGCAGATGTCCGGGAGTTCAAGACCAGCCTGGTCTACATAACAAGTGCTACACAAACCGCAGGCAATCCAAGTCCCAATTTCTCTGGCCTAAAGCTTTCCATTTTTCTGACTTTATTCCCGCAGCACTTGGAGTTTTGACTTCATGGCCCATCCATCAAATCTGCACCATGTCATGCAGCAGCTGTTGCAGGACACTTTAAATAGGCTATGAGGTACTTCCTTGAAAGAGCACTGAGTGCACTTGCAGAAGCTGTGAACTTTGTTCCAGTGTACAGCACCAGGGCAGGGCCTCTATTTTTGTTCCATGCCATATAATAGTTCACAGCTAGCATAACACCTGGCACATAATAAAGATTTCCCAATGTTTGCTGAATGAATGGACTTACCCAGTCATTCATTATCCACCCAATCAACACTTGTTTCATAACTTCTAAGAGGCAAATACTGTGGCAGGTGGTAGGGGTCGAGTTGAAGAAGACATGCTGCTTCCTTCAAGGAATTCAAACACTTAGTTTTGAATGATGTGACATGGAAGAGAGAGAAAGGACAGGCAGAGTGAGATCCAGAAGAAAAAACAGGAACGTCCCCAAGGTAAAGTTGAAGCAGGTCTTCATCAAGGCCCTCAGATGGGAATGCGAACTTGACTGTTAAAGCTCTTGACTCAGTGGAGAAAGGTGCTTACTGCCAAGCCTGATGACTTGAGTTTGATGCCCAGGACTCACACAGTAGAAGGAGAGAACTGACTCCCAAAAGTTGTTCTCTGGCCTCTGTACATGTGCCATGGTACATACACAATAAATAAATGTACTTTAAAATAAGGCTAGTGAGGGGCACACGCCTTTAATCCACTACTCAGGAGACAGAGACAGGTGGATCTCTGTGAGTTCAAGGTCAGTCTGGTCTACATAGCGAGTTCCAGGCCAGTTGAGGCTATAGGGAAACTTTGTCTCAAAAAAGTAAGAAATAAAAACTTCTTGGATGTAGCTGAGTATGGTGGTGGACACTGTAATCCCAGTACTCAGGCAGGAGGATGGCAAGTTGGAGACCATTCTGAGTTATAGAGTGGAACACTATCCCAAACAACAAAAAATTAAAAAAAAACCTCAAAACTTTCAGGGGCTAGAGAGATAGCCCAGTGGTTAAGAACATCTAATGTGTGAGGCATGGTGGTACATGCCTTTAATCCCAGCACTTGGGAGGCAGAGACAGGTGGATCTCCATGACTTTAAGGCCAGCCTTGTCTAAATAAATAGTGAGTTCTAGGCCAGCTGGGACTACAGGTAGACCCTGTTTCAAAAAAAAAAAAGAACACCTGTTGCCCTTGCTGATGACCTGTGTTCAGTTCCCAGCACCCACATGGTGGCTAACAATCATCTGTAACTCCAGTTCCATGGGATCCAATACCCTCTTCTGGCATCCACAGGAATTGTACACACGGTGCACATGTGTATATAAAGACAAAAACTCATATATATAAGAATAAATTTATAAATATTTTAAAAAGAACCCTTTCACATAGCACTGGGGTTGGAAATTAGAAAGAGTCAAGAACGCACTGGGGCTGGAGAGATGATTCAGGAGTTGAAAGCATTGGCTGCTCTTGTTGAAGACGTGGGTTCAATTCCCAGCACCCACATGTCAACTAACAACTGGCCTCTTCTAGCCTCTGTGGGCATTGCACACATGGGTGCATTTACATACATGCAGGCAAAATACTCACACGTAAAATTAGAATAAATAAATAATGATAAAAAGAACACTTCCTGCTCTTTCAGAGGACCTGAGTTTAGTTCCCAGCACCCACATTGGGTAGCTCACAACTGCCTGTTAACTCCAGCTCCAGGGGATTTGATTCCCTCTTCTGGCCTCTGCAGGTGCCCCCCCCATGCAAGTGCATATACATACATGCAAACCCACACACATACACATAAATAATAAACAAAACTAAAATTAATAATAATGATGATGATGATGATGGACACACTGGGTAGAAATCTCACCCAGGCAGCCCAGTTTGAAGGAGGCTCAGTGAAGCTCTTATTTAGTTAGGAAGTGACAAAGCCAGCATAAGACAGTGACCACAGGACATGGCACCACAGGGATGGATTTGAGAGTAACAGAGTCTAGTGGTGATTTATTAAATATAGGGACAAATGGAGGAGTCAATGGTTTGCACCCTGTAGCCATGAGGATGGGAAAGGAGGGAGTATTGGTTACTTTTGTGTCATCGAAACAGTGTCTGACAGAGGCAACTGAAGGGAAGAATAGTTTGTTTTGGTTCACAGTTTCAGAGGGTTCAGTCCCACGGTGGGGAAAGAATGGTGGAGCAGCTCCACTCGTGACCACAGGAGGCTGTTTACATTCCGGCAGACCAGGAAGCAGAGAGTACAGAGGAACCAGGGCTGGTCTATCACCTTCAAAAGCCCACTCCATAGTGACTTCCTTCCCCCAGTAAGTACTTCCTAAAGGCTCCACAGGCTCCCAAAATAGTTCCACTAGATGGGGAACAAGCATTCAATGTGTGAGCCTGAGGGAGAACATTCTAGATTCAAACCATAACAGAGGGAGAGGTAGGAGGGCATAAAGGAGAGACTCTAGTGGATTATATAGGTTTGGGATGAGGGGCATGTGAGAGGGGCAACACTCTGTGGAGTCCAGAGTCTCAGATCTCTCCTTTGAGGGAAGAAGGCCAATGAACCAGAGAATATGGGCAGAAAAGCAAGTTTGGAAGGCTTAGGTCAAGTTACCTAATCTTCCTGAGCCTCGATTATTTATCTTTAAAATGGCAATGGTGATAATCCAGCTCTTTGGGTTGCCATGGGAATGAAACAGCCTCTGGGCAGAGAATAGATGCTCAACACATCTGACGCAAAGGAGGGGCAGCACCTGTCCAAACACTGGGCCCACACACACCCTCTACAACAGGCACTATGAACATGTCCATCGACCAATGTAGGGAGTGAAGTGCAGAGTGGTGATCAAACTTGACTGAAGTCTTTTGGTTAGTAAGTGGCAGAGCTGGGTTCAGCCCCACAGTCCAAGTTCCTCATCGCCTCACCGCACTGGCTGCCTTTGGGATCTAGAACTTGAACTTGAGGGACAGTAGGTAGGAAGGAGGAAAGGGCAGGAGAGGAGGGCAGACTTGCCACTCATTCATTCTAACAGAGGTTTTATTTGGAAATACGACTCCAGAACTTGGTGGTAGTCTGGGGAGCAAATGGCCTTTATCTTGCTTGCTTTCCTAGGTCTGGTCACAGGGTCCCTGGGGCTGAAGCACAGCTCCAAATTCTCAAGTATTAACAGCCTAGACAATCTCCATGGTCTGGGCCCAGTGAAAAAAGATGAACCAAATCCCATTCTGGACCAGCTTAGGGTGGGTGGACCTGGGTCCCTGGCCCCAGGACCTTAGCTCCCTCTCCTAGCAGAGGTCAGCTTCACCCACCCACAGGCCAGCTGTGGCCGGGTCCTGCTAGCCCCCGTGTTGGAAGAACAAGGGGTAGGGAGAGGCTAATTTTCTGGTGCTGTGTCCAGTTTATCTTCCTGAGAGGTGGGAGCCGAGCCCGGAGTCTCATCCCTGCCATTGAGAGATTTCTGTTCACTGCTGTTGGCTGAGAGGGTTCTGTTGTCTTGGGACCCCCAGCGGGTCAGGCGCTTTAGGGAGGAATCCCGGCGGGCAAGAAGAGGGGGCTGGAAGCCGGTGAAGGAGCTGCTGGTGGTAGGACGCTTATCTGGCAGAGAGAAGAGAGGCAGAAAGGAGAAAGGTGCATTGAAATGGGAGAGGCGAGGGTCTTAACTCAGTTCTGAGGGGGAGAGACCTAGGACCTTCAGTTCTACTTCTGTGGCCTAGGAGATTTGGAGGCGTAGCATCACTCCCCC